ACAGCGACATGCTTCCTAATTATTTGTATATAGTAACGTGTACAGTATGTGTGTATTAATATTTAGTTTAAATTTTCCTTTTAATGATTTTTATGATCTAAACACGCCCCCCATGGAAACCAGCCTAGAGTTGATGGGGCTAGCGTGTTCTTCTTTCTGTTAATTTTAAATAAAGTATTACCTACCTACCTACCTACCTACTGACCATGTTCATTTTTTAAGTTCATGATCAACCTAGCCGCTCTGTTTTGGAATTTCTGTAGACGTTCGCTTAGGCCTTTATTAAGTGTATCCCATACTTCACAGCAATAATCCAAAATAAGGTTGGATTAAGGCGTTACTCAAACGTAACGTGTGGCGTAACGTGTGCGTAACGTGTCATCTATTCTTATATATTTCTTTGAGAGTAAATGTGCAATGATGGCTGCATGAAAAAAGTTAAAACTGTTATTATTTTTTTATTATTATTTAAGCTTATTTATTCACGGTAGCCTTTCAGAAGCCTGTTTTTCAAAGGGCCGTGCACACTTACTATAAAATATTATACGAATATTAAAATTATTAACTAAAAAAAAAAAAAAAAAAAAAAAAATCATGCATAATATACTCTATTTACATCGGCAAGGCATAATGCTTTGATATGGTTTGGCAGGATGACCTCCCAATTCAAAAACACAAGCCATCTATTAATCTTTTAAAAGAACAGATGGAAGTTTCAGGTATTTCCATAATTGGAAGTTTTCCATTAAAATTTGGTTCCATGAAACTGCTCCTCTATAGGAGAAGCTTCGTTTTAAAAAATTCGTCTTAGGTTTTGGTAGGTAAAGCTTTTGATGATTATTTCGTAGATGGTAGGTTTGGTTAACGGAGACATGAAACATCTGTGTTAAGTATTCTGGAGCCATACCCCTAAGTGCTTTAAATGTCATCAATAATTCCCTCTTTTTAGTATTGATTGTATTTTTGTCCATTTGAGCATTTGAAAAATTTCAGAAGATCGTTCTTCTAAGCCCGAACTGGTAATGACCCGTGCTGCACGCTTTTGCAATTTGAGCATTTTTTCGGCGTGCATTTTATTACCATCATACCATATAGTTGAACAATAGTTGAAATAGGGGAGTACAAATGACTTATACATCATCTGTAGTGTTGCTTGAGGTACGTAAGGCTTCACTTTTCGTAACATAGCTATAGAACAAGAAATCTTTTTAGTTTGTTTTTCAACATGTTTTGTCCATTGTAATTTATCGTCTATTTCTAAGCCTAAGACCTTTTTCTTGTAAACCCGTTTGATTATATGATCTCTAATTTTAATAATAGGGTCATTTCTGATCTGTTTTAAGCGCTTTCCTGAGCCGATTAGCATATACTCGGTTTTTTCTTCATTTAATGTTAATTTGTTTGCATCTAACCAAGTCTTAACGTTTTGGATTTCCACCCCCAATTTGTATTCAATTTCAAAAGAAGACTCCCCAGTTGCAGTTAAGCTTGTATCATCAGCAAACATGGCGGGTTCAGTTATTTCTAAACTATTTGGCAGATCGTTTATATAAATTGTAAACAGGAGTGGCCCAAGGTTAGATCCTTGTGGGATGCCGCATGTAATATTTTGGAAGGATGATAGCGAGTTATTTACTTTGCAAATTTGTTTCCTATTACTAAGATATGATTGAAACCATGACATCCAAAAACACAAGTTCGTCAAAAAAGCGTGGGTACGGAGACAGATCTTTCTGCTCCGCCTGCGGAATCTTCCGGATAAAATCAAAGACCCTCGACCAAACAAACCAGATAATTTCTGTTTCGCGTTCGTCAATCTGTTCGTTTCTGCCGTAGTAGAAAATTGCGTCGCTTAAAGTTGCAAAAATTGGATGTCAGAGTCCAGATTGAAAAAAGCTTAGAACAGGAGACATATAGGATCCAATAAGCTGTTCAAAACGGTTGCTTACTCGTACCCAGTCCCCCGTTCTGCGTCTTTTGAGTCCATTTTTGTGCGAGTTTCGCACGAAAGCTAGATCACTGGGCTTAATGCGCGAAAAATGAAAATTTTGCCCGAGACTGCGTTAAGTTCAATTTTTGGCAGAAATTTAATTAAGTTTGGGACCACAAAGAGGCCTTTGCTAAGACAATCGCGTGCAAAAATTGTTGAGACAAGCAGTTTATTGGCCCTCTCCCTCCTGTAACAATAGTTCTTGCCCCCCTCCCCCTTGTGCAATGTTGTTAAAACGATTTTGAGGTCAGGGCTTATCAAATAATATGTTTTCAACATTGTTAATGGGGGGAGGGGGGGGCACGCACGTGAAAAAGATCACCAAAATGTGAAGAGTCTCATTATTTTTGCACGCGATTGTAGGTGTTTTTTGGGTACATATTCTATTAAATTCACTTTAAAGATTAAGCTATTGCGTATGTACTTGTTCACAATGACTATGCATGAGGCCACGCCCAATCGAGTAACCACGCCCATTTGATTTTCAAGACCGTCCCCCCACTTCTAAAATTAGCAAAACATCGCTGTCAAGAAGGATTTCGTCTAGCTATAGTAAGTGAATTAGAGTAGCTGGGACTGCACGCAGGCTAGAATTAGAGCAGTTTCAGTCGCGCGAAAGCCAGATTCCAGGCCATAGTGCTTCATAGAGATGTCTTTCGTATCTAGTTTTGAGAGGATCGGAAGAACAGATATTGGCCTGTAATTTTGTTTGTGTTCTACGCTTCCTTGATTCTTAAAAATGGGGGTGACTTTGGCTACTTTAATTTCCATCTGGACGGGAGGGTGTTGGTGGATATGCAATGGTTCATGAGACGTGCGACTGAGCTTGATATGGTTCATGAGTCGTACGTGCGATTTGATCTTGATCAACATAATCTGGCGACGTAAACTTTTGTCCACAACTCAACCCTCAGCCAAGCCTATCGAGTTCGCATTGTAAAAAAAACCCGCCAAACCAACACGTAGCCTCCTCTGCAGGCATCTCACTAATGTGGTCGGAAAATTTTTTCAAAACCCATTCACAAGCTAAAACCGATGAAGAGGTCTGCGAAGGAGGCTACTATTCAGCTATGGACGATTACAAAATGCATGAATGCCCTATATGTTCCACGTGACCAAAAATCAGGCATATTTCGTCACGTGACCTTCCAAATCCGGTCAGTATATATTGACTATCATGGGCGTACCGGAAGGAAAAAATTAGGGGGGCGGAAAGAAAATTGCCCGACTTTTCGATTTCTGCCCGACTAGTATCAAAAAAATTTTTCCGGAAAAATTATTTTGGCGACCTCCTCCCCCCCTCCCCCCGTCGCCAAAAAAATTTCGGTCAGTGTACCATTTTAGGCGTCAAAAAATTTTTCCGGACAACCAATTTTTTTCGCAACATAACACAAATTTTCGAAAAATCGCAAAATTTGCCAAAAAATTGACTTAATTTTAGACAAAATTGACTTAATTTTAGACAAAATTGACAGAATTTGTCCCATTTTTTTTATTGCAAGCCAAAATTGCCCGACTGTTGATCGAATATTGCCCGACTGCCCAAAAAACTGGGGGGGCTACCGCCCCCCCCGCCCGGTACGCCTATGTTGACTATGACTTAATAATGACGCAGCTGGGATTTGTATTCTCGGTAAGCAACCTATTATCAAGAAAATCTAAGGGACTTCGTCGTTTTGGAGGTCCTGCGGCTTGCCCCCTCCCCCTTTCTGTGATACTTTGGTCCCGTGCGCGCATAGAGATTATAAATAACACTAGAGTGGGCATCGTAATCTTAATTCAGTCAAAGAAAGGGAACGTGGCTAACAGTGGGGGGGGGGGGCAAAAAATCAAAATGCTCAAATAAAAGCGAGTTTGAGCAAATTTTTTTAATTCTTGTTTATGGCAGTTAAAGTCCCGTTTTGATGTTCACCAAGCATTTTCACCTCATTTTTGTCTATAACATATTTTTGAGAGCGCTCCAAAAATAATGCTGATGTCAAGCTGATGTCTTTGATCTTTTCAAGAGGAATTAATCGTTCGAATTCAAAATTTGGGGGGGAATGTTTGTAGTAATGACATGCAAAACATATAAAACACCCAGTTTTGTGACTCTTTTTCTGGTTTCAAGTGTATAAATCAAGAATTGTGTGGTGTTCATCCGGGATTTTAATTTGCCCCCCATTTCAACCTCGATGCCCCCTCTAGTGTTATCATGGATAATAAAGTTTTTATTATCCATGGTGTTATTTATAATCTCTATGCGTGCGCGTCAGTGGTGCGCGTGCGTCAAAGACCATAGAGATTATAAATAACACTAGAGGAGGCATCGAGTTTAAAAATTGGGAACGCAGCTAATGGGGGGCAAATTCAAGTCCCGGATATAAAATCGTGCTCTCATTGGCTGATTTGAAACTCGTCACCAATG